CCCAACCATCATATTTATGGTGAATTTGGGATATTAAATGCTCTCTAACCACCAATCATCATAAAACCATAAATGTTAAGTTTCATTAGCTTAATCAACTCTATTAACTCTATTTAAATTAATGAGTTGGACTCATAGTCTCTATGGATCGAAAATCATTATTCTCACCAAATCCTAACTTTTAACATCAAGAAAAATGGAAGAAATAGGTAGATTTAAGCTTGAGAATCTTACTTTTTATTGTTTAGAAGCTTCAAAAATCTCCAAACGATTTCAAACTCCAAGCCCTAGCAGAGCCTCTTGGGTTTTCTTTAATCCATTTTCTCTTTTGTTTTGCTTCCTCTCTACATCAGTTTCGTGACTGTATTTCAGCAGAGTGATTTGGGTTTTTGTTGTTGTGGATCTAGGATGTTGTTGTCGATCTTTGTTTTCAGTCTAGGATATGTTGGTCATCTAGGTTCTTGTTGATTTTATTGTTATTGATGATTGAAGCTGGTTCCAAAAAGAATTTTTGTAAAAAAATTTATGTTTTATCCATTGAAAGAAGAGAAATATTGTGGTAGCCAAGTAATCTTTATTAAATTAAAATAATTTTTCTCAAAGTCAATTAATAATCAACTAATAATGTATGTTAAAATTAGGTAATATTGTCCTCATTTTAAAAGATTGAGAATAACATTGCACTTTTTTTATTTTAGTATACCTGACACTCCTCGTAGGATATTTCAAAAGCAAATTTGCTCCTTAATCCTTAGATATTATATTCTTAGGGATTAATAAATATAAAGTATCATGTAATATTCCACCTTCACTATTTCAAATGTGCTGTGAAGTTTATCCTCATCAATTATTCTTGGCATGGGACCCGCCAAGGTTCGCGTTTATATAATTATTTTAATTTTTATCCAATAGCATTGTGTGTTAAACATAGTTAATGGAGTGCCACAAGACCAACCCTACAATACATGCATAGTTTGGATCCGATATTTGAAAAACACTGCATTGCAAAATGGTGGGGTGACGTGATAAATGATCGCACCAAAACTTGGGAGGGTCCTATCCTATTCCTGTTTCAGTAACATGCCAATTATAAACTTGTTCCCACACCCACCCCCACTATATATAGTGTTAATTAAACAATAGCTTGATGGATAAATTAATCATACATCCAGGAACAACGTGTCATCGATCGGTTTCAATGTTCGGATTAGACTAGGGCGTTGAAAAAATAACAAGTGAGGGATTGAATGTATGAAGTCATCATCAGAAGTCCAATTCATTGGCCAAGGTTTTTCGTTAGGTTAGATTTGTGAGGTCATGTACATGGATGATCAACTCAAAAATAAGCAAAAACGTGTAGTCATCAACACCAAAATCAAACTACTTAAATCAGAATTATAATTATAATTGTGTAGTAGAAATTAATAATAATATAACTAACGGTACTCTTGACGGTGCCTGAAGGTTGCGGCAAATGGTATATTGATTCCAAGCGTGGTTGACACTATTGACACCGTCAAGTGTTTCAGTGTACGTGTTTGACATCACTGGTTTTATGTCATGCCAAAGATTTGAGTTTGATTTTTGAGAGTTGAAGATTAGTTTGGTGACTAGGCCATGATGGTGTGTTGATGCAGAAAAGTCAAGCAAGGGTTTTTCCTTCTTTATTTTAACCTGCCCCTGGTGTTGGAAATTTTAGTCGGTCCCCAACCATCAAAACTCTATCTCTTTTCCTTGGCTCCACGCTTCATCTTCATTACGTATCATTGGAGCCCCTTTTGTTAACATTTATACATGTTGTTACATCCTTTCTGAAAATTATCACATTCACCTCAAAATAATTAGTATACGCGTGACATTAAAGATTCAAAATTTGTGTATAGATGAAAATCATGTCTGGAGTTACTCCTATATGAACCCGACAACACTTAGTTTAAATCTTACATGTAAATTAGTTAAAATTGCTAAAAGCCAAGATTTTTTTTTAATATACGTATATCCTCCTTCTACTTTGACAATATGTTTATCTTGTCATCCCACTCCCTCGCTTTGTACGAACATTTTGTTTACATATCTATTACTTTGCTGGCTCCCCTGTCTTTGTGGTTCAATGTTGGACCTGGTATTGTAATTGCACATATCTATTTTCTTTTTAATACAGTAGAAGTTAAATTGACTCAAATTAACGGGCCATAACCAATCTGTAGTTATCTGTATTGAACTCGATATGATACAGAAACAATAAAAAATATTATTATCCAACATGTTTCAGATGATTTTGATACCATGCAGTTGGCTAAAGTTGGCAATTTTCTATATGATTATACCTTAATCAGATTCACTTCTTCAAGTTTATGTACCCCCCATTTTTCAATCACTTAAACGCGGGATTTTTTATAAATTCCAACAGAGAAAAAAATGTTAGGAAAAAACATCATGTTCCGGGATCATTTCATCATAAAAAGGCAACCTCTCGCGTCTCGTGTAAAAATTAAGATCCGTTACTGACTATTCAGATAAAAATATATATAAAAGTTGAAATTATACGGGATATTTAAATTTTATTGTGCTTTAAGTTTTAGGAAAATTTTAGAATAATAAATTATAACGAGTTCGATGCAATGCAACGAGTGATATTTATGATTTATAGTGGCCAAATAATTGATGGTTTATAAATGGCAAGTCAAGATACGGATGATTTAGAGCGTAGCATTAGGAGAGTTCATGGTGATGTAGGCCACGTTCTCCGGCGCTAATTCGGTGGCCAGGCTCCGTGATATCTGTACATTCACCCCTTGGAAACGGTGAAAACGACACCTTGCTTCTTTATCACTGATTACCCGTCGAAATGTATGCTACGATATTCTAAGCCTAACTTTTCTTTCTTGTTGACTCCTTCCTATTATTCCAACCAGTTTGGTTGTAACTGAACTAGTTGTAATATTCAATCAAGTCGTCTTATATATATATATATATATATATATTCTTTTTTCTGAGTTTTCCTTCCTTATCCGTATCGGAGAACAAGCAAACACGTAATATTCAATCTAGGCCACGGATAAACTGGGCAAAAAGACATATCTTTAAACGTAGGCCGGAAGAGTTTCTGAAACAAACCATGGATTTGCACCTTTGAAAATTCCCCATAATGATGTTCACGCTCCAAGCCAATGAATGGTGATTTCGTGTGAGCAGCGTACCTTAGCTGGAGGTGTGGGCGAGTTACGGGTATTAAAAGGCCTAGACGTGACCAAGTCGGTAAGGCCCATCAAATTTAAACTGCGCTGGGCCAATCAATTTACGGGGAGAGTGAACAAGCCTGACCCAAATTCTTTAGAGAAGCATTCGAGAGTTTTTGCCTAGACTTGGTGCCTTCCCCTAATTGATCACAATCTCAAATCATCATTACATTTATATATAGCAGTCTAGCACTCGTTGAGCCTACTTTATTTCGTGTGGCATACTTGAACCAAACACCTCTAAAACACCGTTTGAGTAATACCGTTTCACATTTAAAAATAATTTTTTACTTTGAAATGTAAAATGTTATTTGGATTAATTTTATGAGAGCAAATGTACTTTTCAAAATGATTTTTCAACCCAGCTGAAATGTGGAATTTTGGAAGCTCCATTGGGTAGCTTTGAAACAGAAATGTAGATAAAAGCATAAAGACTGGTGCCTAATTTTCCATTTGACTATATACCCTCAATATTTTCTCATTCCTGTCGTGCAACCGTCTCTGTCTTCAAACTACACACCCAAAATATTAATCTCTGACGGAAGGGGAAAAAAAAGCACTAGGGAACAAATCAAAACGAAAAGGTTCATAGATTGAAAATAAATAAATAAATAAATAAATAAATAAAATACATAAATAGTAAATAATAAATAATAAATAAATAAATAAAATACATAAATAGTAAAATGATTACATAATTTATTCCAACATTTTATAGTTTTATCCTTGCATCTTTACATTTTTAATATATTACATTGTACATAAAAATTAGTGATTATCATAAATTAATACCCTTTTAGTCATTACATATTCAAAAATATATTTCAAAAGTCTATTAACCTAACAACTTTTAGTTGTCAAACTAACTTTTAATAAAATATATTCAAATACAAATTTCGTTACAACAATGATTTTTTTAAACTGACTTTTATCAAATTAATTTTTATCAAATTAAAAATCAAACACACACTAAATTGATGGGTTTTGGAGTTTGTCCCCATTGGATTAGGCTATGCGGCACTGTTCATATAATATAAGGCAATGACGCATGCTATGTAAATTACTATTCAGATCAATAGCCTCCCAACACCTCCCCTATTATTCATAGGGTCTTCTATCTCTCACACATCCTATAGACTATGATAACGTTGAGAAACCAATCACTGTGCCAACCGCTACATTTTTAGAGAACTTGAATGTAGGAGAAGTGAGGCTTACCGGTTATATATTTCATCACATTCGTTAGTTTCCCTTCAAAAAAAAATTAACGTTATGAAAATTTTTCCCCCGCCTACATTTGTTTAAGTGAATTAGGGCTTTTCACAAAAATGTCATCCTATTAATGGGAGAGAGAAATTAGTTGGTTAAAAAAAAAAAAAAAGGAAAGGGAGACCAGTAAAATCTATCCGGTAGGTTGGCTAATCAATAACAACGAATTCCATCTCTAACTTACGTCTGAATTTTGTCATCGAGGATGAAGCCAGGTGTTTGATGCAAGAACTGAACCAGATGCCGAATCATGTTTAGAAATAGCATGACTATGGAAAGCGGATCCAGCTCAATGCATTCTGGACCAAACTCTGCCCATATATAGTTTAGTTTTCGGGTATTTTGTTTTGTTGGTGCTTGGGTCATCGTCTTATCGAACATGACTGTCCATACATAAATATATTGTTCCATTCGATGCTGAAATGTTTGTATTTTGCTCCATCAAAAACAAACAATTTTGCATGACGGGTGTTTTGAGATCGACAGACAACATGAGGAGCATTGTGACTATATGTTATTACTTACCGTCACAAGAAGATAAACAAGTACTCCGTGCATCGGGGAAGATTGAAGAAGAGAAAGCGTCTTAACAAAATGAACATTGTGAAATCAAAATCGAGGGTAAGAATGACATGGATTAATTTCACGTCAATGGAAACCCCCCCCCCCCCAAAAACATACATATGTAATTACAAGAAGAACTGCAAAGTCGCCTCTCCTGAAAATGATCCTCTTACTATGATTCGATTCGAGTAGTGGATGCAATAATACAAAAACCTAGACGAAGCAGAGAGGGAATCCAATGGATAATTGGGGAGGAATGAAGTTCACCTTCCCCTTTGCAGAGATTTCTGAGCAGTGTCGATCTCCTCCAAGATCCTGGCCTTGCGTTTTGCGGGAATAGGAGCAGTGGGTCCGAAACTGATATAGTGCCCCGAAATCGCGTTGAGTGCGGAGTACATGTCACGGAACGAAGCCCTGCCCAGGAGAGCCTTCTCCCTCCTGTACTTGGCCACCCAGGAATTGGAGGTCTCTCTCAACTGAGCCACCGCTTCTGCCACGTTGGGGTCGTTCTTGTCCATTGTAATGGTGGTCCTGACCTTGTCGATCACCTCCTCCGTCTCCTTCACATATTCCTCGTCCGAAGCAGCTAGTGCTGGCAGCAGAGGGTTGAGGCATAAACTGGACACGATGGAGGAAGTGATGGAGAGGAATTCACGGCGGAGGGGCTGAGCGGCGGTCGTCGCTGGGGGTGTGGAGGAGGAGGAGGAGGCGGCGGCGATGATGGGGGATTTGGGCCTGGAGGAAGAGAGAGATTTGGGAGTGGAAGTCGGAGTGATGAGTGCAGGGGAGGCCATGTTGCTGGGGGGGAGAGAGAAGTGACGGCCTGCGAGTGCAGGTGGGAAGGGAAGAGGAGAAGAATTGGGTATTTGCCACGTGGCCTTATCGCCTTATCTTTGTTTTTGCCCTGTGGATCAGACAGCAGCCAATGACTTTTGAGCTAAAGATACACCATCCCCATGTGTCCGGATCCGGTTTTGCTCAGCACCAATTTGCAGTGTTAATTTTTTTCTTTTATTTTTAAATTACAAAATTATTATTATTATAAATAAATAAATAAAATTATTATTTTAATATTTAATAAATCAATAAATTTAACTTGTTAAATTTGGCCCAAACAGTTTAGACAAAAATTTTAATCTGAACAGTTAAAAATTATAATAAAAAAATTAAAACTGTAACTAAATATATTTTATAAAATAATTTTATTTTATTAATTTTGTACAGTTGTCTATTTATGAGAAGTAAAATTATTTAATTTATGATCAGGCATTAAATATAAGTATTTCTTTTTAATAGGAATTTAAACTTTGTTTTATTACATAATAAAAAATTAACTTTTTTTGTTAGACTCAACTCCTATTTTAAACTTTTTAGGTCATTTCTTTTGTAATTTTTTCAGTACAATTGTCAACGATTCAAACCAAAATTTTTATGTAAACTATTCAAGTTAAATTTTAACTAATTAAATTTATTTTTATTAAATATTAAAATAATATTTTTGTAATATTTATTTATTTATTATAATAATAATTTTGTGATTTAAAAAAAAAAATTAACACTGCAAATGCAGTGCTTGTAGCTTTCCCTGCCCCATCATACCCAATCCCCCCTCCCATGTTCTCTCTTCTGTGGGATAATCGAACAGGGTGAGATGATTTTTAAATATAATAATTAATAATTAATAATAATAATATAATGTGTAAAAATTCCATCCTAATTCTGCATGAAAAATTCAGAGTCTATTTGTATTGTGAGGGAGAGAACTTTCAATTGTAGCAGGGAGTCCCTCCCCCCTCCCCAGATATGAAATATCATTAAAAACCAAACGTTTACATGAACAAATAAGATATAATGAACAAAATACAAATAAGAAAAAACAATACAACAAAAAACTCTAAACCCAGTATAAAAACAGCATAAATAAAGAAAAAAATGACACAATCAAGATCATTCCAAATTTTAAGACAGATATGAAAAGCAAAAAATTTTATTACTCGTGTGAAAATTTCAAGAAACTAAAAGTCACATTAGAAAACAAGGATGAGGGTCCATAATACCATTCTAACAGTTTCATCCCTATGTAAATAGTAACTGCTATTCAAATAGCAGATTTATCACCTTTAGTCACCATATTCCATGTAAAGGCAACCAGAATTATTAGTAACGACATCAAACTAACCACTATCATAATAAAAAAGTACCCACATCTCTATTGTGAACCACCACTTATTAAACTAAAAAGCCAAGCCAAAACCCTTAACAACAAATCAAAATAATCAAGATCCATATTAGAAAACAAGGATGAGGATTCATGGTACCATTCTAACTGTTTCATGTTTATGTAGATAATAACTACTATCTAAATAGTAGATTTATCACCTCTAGTCACCAGATTCCATGTAGAGGCAACTAAATTATTAGCAACAACAACAAACTAGTGACTATCATAATAAAAAAGTAGCCACATATCTACCGTAAACCACCACTTATCAAACTAAGAAGCCAAGCCAAAACCCTCAACAACAAACCAAAATCATCAAGATTCATATTGCAAAAACCTTATACTTCCTTGTTTGAAAAAAGAAGTCACAAAACCTATAACTAAACATTGCGCAAACTGTCAATCCTTTGGATAGACAACCTTTACCTCACTAACACCAATCAAAACCTTATTCCTTTCTCAACAATTCAAATCGAAGGAGGAGATAACATATGCTAACATAAAAGTCATAAACCAACCACGCCAAATGCCCATCTTGTGGCAAAAGTTGGCAAGAAAGTTATTGGAGAACAAAAGTCATACTGTGATGGGAAAGAACTCTCATTCTACAGGGAAATCATATGTATCTCGATTATTTCAACTTGGCCTACTATGTATGCTCATTTCAAGTTTTTATATTTCATTTCCTTTTCTCAAAGGCCAAATTTCTTGGTTAAGGGTATTTAAAACCAATCTAAATCAATTATACCAAACCAAACCGAACCAATTGATGTGAATTGATCAAAATTAATTATAAATGAGGTTCAATTTGGTTTTTCTTTTGACAAAACTAATTGGTTCAGTCTAGTTCAGGTTTTTGCTTTTAAAAACTTGAACCAACCCGAATCAAGTTTTATTATATTTATTATATATATTTTTATAAATTTGTTAAATTTTTTTTTCCTTTTCCAAGTTTAATTATTTGCAAATCATTAGTGAAAATAAGTTACAATTAGCTAAATATTATTTATAATTATTTAAGATAATTTTTAAATTTTATAATCAAGTGTTTTAAAACATTAATTTTTAATAGTTGAGTATACTAATTAATTGTTAAAAAATATTCTTTTGCACTCAAGAAAATTTTTTATTGCAAAGAATAATTAATAGTTAAAAATTATCAATGAACATAAATATATATTGATGATTATGAAAAATATCTCATTAAAAAGATTTAAACTTAATCAAGACTTAAACTAAATTGATTAGAAGAAAAAATTGAATAGGGTCTCGGATTATAGTAAACCGATTGGCTCAGTTTGATTTGGTCTTTCTCCCAAACCAAAACAAACAAAATTTGTAAACACCCTTATTCTTGGCTACCAAATATAGTATAAGTTTCAGCTCATGGTCATTGATTACCGTGATACCATCCAATTCAAGAAATCCAGGCTGAACATAAGCTGTGGTCGTTGATTCACCCTCAAGAATTTAGTAAATTTTTCACATTCTATTTATATTTCTGACCCAGCCCACATGTGATGCTGGTCCAGCTCTAAGCTATTGAGCGGGCTTGAAGTTTGCACGGCAACCTGAAAGTGCACATAAAGCCCATAGACAAACTAGCCAAGGAAGTCCATTTTTTAATACCGAGTTAATGAGTATGACCGTTACTAAGAAGCGAAGCCTTGCTTTTGTTGCTCTGCTTGGTTGATTTTACTGTGTGCTGGTCATCTCACAACAGAAGTTTGATCTAACATGAGCACTTGATGAATATGAATCATCGTTTCTGGGTAAAACATGTAATTTGGAAAAGGGAAAAATGAGCAAAAGAACGAGATGGTGCGGAGGGTTTAATGATCAGGAGGGACCCATTATAGCTGTGACTAACATGGGAAGAGAATTTGGATAATTACAGGATGCTTTTTCCATAGATGTTGAGCCCGCCTCCCATCAATCTCAATCAGACACCACGCAACTCATTCGCTCTTCGCTCCCAAGCTATTACTAACAGCCTCTCTCCACTTAGCAGATGTGTTCTTGTTCAGAATCTATGCACTTACTCAGAGATTGCCCGCATGCTAAAGAACGATGGCGAGCATTTGTTCGAGATGATAATTGGAGTATGTTTATCAGTTTGCAAGGAGCGGATTGGATAAAATGAAACCTGACAAAGGAAGCAAGCAAAGACTATACCAGTAAGATCAATTGGGCTTCTTTATTCGATTATGTTTGTTGAGATATTTGGGTTACTAGATGCAAAAAAAAAAAAAAAATCACGATGAGGATGATGAGAGGAGAGTTGGGTTATGTCTAGCTTCTTTAAAGCTTGTAACGACCAAGATCTTTTACGTAGAGTCCACTGTTATCCTATGAGAAAGCAACTCCTAGCGCCGTGGATAGATTTAGGAGTGGTTTTATTAATTTGAAAGTAGATGGCTCAATACTACCAAATGATCATTCTGACCATGTGGGTGCAACTTGGTATGACCAATGTCTTTGGATTCAAGGTTTTAGTTGTAAATTTGTGAATGTCTCTTCTACCATAACTTAGGTAATTGCTATATTTCATGGTTTGACTCTTTGTTGGAACAAGGGATATTGAAAAGTGAATCCATACACTAACTCCATTGAAGCTATGGAGCTATCAACCTCCTTACTAAGAATTGTCATGAACATCACTCATTCAGAGCTATTATCATTGATGTGAAGATGCTTTTCCATTGGCATCGAACTCTAGAAGTTTATCATGTATATTGGGGTCATAATTTTTATGCAGATTTTTTAGATAGGAATTCTCAAATTAGAAGAGGCTTTTTATATCTTTAATCATCTTCTAAGCTTGTCTCAAGGATTGGAGAATGATGAAGGATCCTCCCCTCATCTGACTGAAAATTTGCACTTTTAATGGCATTTTAATTTGTTTCCAGCTTATATTCAAAAAAGAAGAGCTATATATGTAAACTAAAACCTTGGGCCACAACATTCATAGCAGCACTCTGCTCCTTTCCACCTGTTTAGCTTATCTCCATAATTTAAAAAGTCTCTCAGTCACCTTTTTATTTATTTTTATTTAAATTAAAGTTTTGTCGCACATGTTAATAGAATACCCTCTTTGCCCCCTTCTTATTTTCTCGACACGTCTTTAATTTATTTTAGCAAGTAATGCTATCTTTTTGGCGGAGCAATTAATGTTATTTTAAATTTCTAAAGTTCTTGAAGATAACGGTATAATTAGAAACAACTAATGAACGATGTTTTACAATTATAAAAAATGACTTATAAATACAAATAAGTTTTTTAGAAAACATGACACCAATTAAAGATGAAAAGGGGAGAACTATAATTTAATGCCTCATTTGATATGACAGGATCGGAATTGAAATTAAAATTATAATTGGAATAGAATTAAATTTTTAAAAAATGTTTGATATAAAGATAAAATTCTTATATGATTTTAATTAGTATATATATTTTAAACAGGAAAAGATCAAAGTATCATTTTCTCAAAATTAAAACTAGAGGTGAGATGAAAGGCAAAATGGTACAATGAAAATGATTCCAAAAAATTGTACCAATTTCCTCATCACTTTAATGAAATTCAATTCAAGAAAATTTTCTTCAATATGAATTCTTGAAAGTCAAGACTTGCATGTACCAAATATGCTTTACCAAAGAAGTTATGTCCAATTCTAATTCCTTCCTTACAATTCTTGCATACCAAGCATGAATGGTGTGGGGATTGGGGAGAAAAGGCAAAACAAGAAATATAGGAATGTATTCATTTAGTCTTTTTTATAAGTCATTTTTACTAATCTCATTAATATTAATATAAAAAAATTTTAAAGAATAAAAGTATGTAAACTTTCAAATATAACCTTATATAACAAATTTAAATAGTGATATCATGTTAATTTTTTTCTATCATAAAAAATAATTTTAAAAATATCTACCAAGTATTACTTAAAAAGTTACATTGTAATTTATAAATGAGACCAAATAGATATTTTAAAATGTGTCTTATAAATAAGACCGAATAAAGTATGTATATAAACATTGAAAAGATAAAAAAATATTTGTTATATCTAATGTAGAGCATAAACGATAGCAAGATTTTAGGAGTATGTTGCCGTTAACAATACAGCCATATCGGGGGTGGAAGGGGATATTAGTAATATTATAATTTGAAAATTTGGAGAGGAGGATATCGTTACTTTGGAGGGCAATGAATGGAAAAGCTTTATCACCGCACCAACCACATCAGATGGTAAATCCAAATTACGCTAATCTCATTGATCACGAGTGACCAGTCCCTCTCATTGAATGTTGCTATCACGAATGCCCCTCCCACTCTGCGTCGAGTCCTTGTCCAGTACCTAAGTCCGCCAAATTGCTCTGCCATTCCCAAAGCAACTTTCTCTTTCACTCATTCATATCATACACTTCGCTTCGCTTCGTGAAGCTGCGCATCTTTCGAGGTGCTCCTCCCCTTCCTTGACCTGGACATGAGATCTCTTGCTCCACTCCTTCCCTGCCCCCATTTTTTAAGGAACCATAACTATTTACACACCAAGTCTAAGATATATCAGTCGGAGTCACACCCCACCAAGTCCTGCCAATACACTATCTCTTGAATCTTTTTTAAACAGATTCTTCATCAAACCGGTCCCTTGGTAAACTCTAGAACCTAATATGATATCGTTTGGATGAGATTCTGGGCACGAAAGTGACCCGTCGAGATGATGTTTGTGAATTGTGTTCACAGTGGACATGCAATAATTTGACCCACATGCCAAAAATTCAACCAAAACCAGCTTAGCTCGTCAATGGTATGTGTATTGGCATATATATATATATAGACGCAGACTAAGACAACTTGGACATTTGCGGGGCAAAATGTTGCGACACGATGGCCCCCGATGATATCCTTATTCACATATTCTGGTGTTTATTGGCTCACAGCAAATAACAGCGGAGTGCGTTATCCTAAAACATCTATCCCGTTTCAAACTAAAATCGTCTCTCTTCATTCATTTTCCTGTTGTTCTTTCTCGCTCGTTGCATCTGCATTGCAATTTTTTACAGTCATAACATGGCTGAATATAATTCTGGAGCACGAATTCTTCAAGCACATATTATACTAAATAAATTCTATGTTCTAGTTTTAAGCTCATTAAACAAACAGCGATCAGATAAAATACACAGCTAATTAGACCATGGCATTGCTTATATTTTCTTTCCCTGTCTGTTGATTTAAAGAGAGAGATAGGTTAATTTTATATCATGCCACTTTCCAGTAAACTCTTCAATGGAAAACTGAGCTTTCATTACAATTATGCCCTTCGCACTGCACTAGGCATCAGATGATACTATCCGTGCGTAGTGTGTACCAATAATGGGACCCGCACATACGGCACTTCTGCGAATAGTATTTACCAAGAGTCAAATTCAGGAATTAACCAAGCCTAACTGGCTTATCAAAGTGACAAACAATGATTGCTCCAGGAGGTCATACGGGTACGGCTTAATTATGTGTTGCCCTGCGGAGTATCATGGATCACGCCTGCCATGCAACGAAGAGTAACACTTACTGTTTATACAAAGTAGTAGTCACTCTTGTTATATATACTCTCTCTATTTAAAAATATAAGATATTTTTAATCAGATTTCATCTTTTAATAAAATAATTATCTACTTTCAAACTGTCCTTATCTTTTCATATTTACCCTTATTAAACACCTCATAATAAATTTAAAGTCATTATTAATAGAAGTATTTTTTTTAAAAAAAAGGCAATGATTAACTTTAAAAAATTAAAAATATTTTATATTTTTTAACATTCAACTCCTCAAAAAATATCTTATATTTTTAAATAGAGAATATATATATATATATATAAACAAGAGAAACTAATATTTATTGTTTTGTTTTTTTATATAAATAAAATCACATGTCTCAATAAATATTTATCATGTAATCTTTTTAAATTTTTCTTTATAAACTCATGATTTTCATTCATTACAAACAATTAATGTAATCTTATTTTGGTTAAATATAAATTTATTTTAATCCATTTTTTATTTTGAAACACAGTTATTATAATTAATTAATTTTTTAAGGAAAAATTATATACTAACCCCACACAAAAAAATTAATTACTGTGAGTTTCGTTAACAACTAACATAAGACAATTTACATCGCATTATTGATAACGGAACTTGTAGTAATTAATATTATAGTAATTAATATTGTGTTGTAAATAGCCTTATGTCAGTTGTTAATGAAACTTGCAGTAATTAATTTTTTTATGAGACTTTAACATAATTCTCCTCTTTTTTAAATTGTATAATATAATTATTTTTTCTTTTATATAAAAATGGAGGGAGTATTAACAAAAAACAGATTGAAGCAATATTCAATGCATTCGCCATTCGGGTAGTAGAGCATAGATCCCAGTGGTTATCTTCACAAAAATGGACAAGGATCAGTCTACACATGTAGAGAGACACTTGGCAGAGGTGGTTTTTCATGCATAATTAATTCTCGTGTAAAATTTTCTTAGATAATACCCTAATATTAAAACAGCAATATATCCTTCCATTTAATCTTATTTATAAAGCGAGGAGAAAAAATATTTATTAATCTTATTTATAAATTATATCATAAATTTTTTATTTTAATTTTCTTATTTTATCTTCACTAAATTTTGGTGAGAGAAAATATATTATTAATATATATATTTGATAGGAGTAAAATTAAAAGCTTATTAAATCTTCAACTGAGTTAATTAGTTTTTGAAATTTTTCTTAATTTTAATAAAATATGTTAAAATAATTTGTAAATAGGACTTTAAGAGCTCTATAGTTTAATGTGAGTTGTTATATTCATGATAGCAATTGATGATTGATGATCCATGAATGATGTTTGCAATATTTATTTCTTTGAGCGAGCGAGCGAGCGAGCAAGGCATGCAGCAACCCGACAGGAAAAGTGACCGCCTTTGGGTATTCGTTAGCTTCCGGGGTTGCCCTCTGCTCAGTTCAGGACGAATGCTTGTGTTGGAATGTATTTTAAACAAAGGCGAAAAATGACGGTGAATGGTTCAGCCACTCTGAGCAAGAAGGATCGCGAAAAGAAATAAATAAAAATGATTCGTAGATAGATCGAGTAGGATGGCCTCATTTTCAAATGGTGGCTCACAATAAATTGGGGGGGAAATTATTCAGCTGTCATGACAGTGGGTTTGGTCCCTGGTCATTAGTACTCTTATACAAATCCTTACCCGATACTCCCATAGAATCTCTCTCTCTCTCTAAAATGATAGCACAGCATCTTGTGGTCTGTATACTGTCGTACTCTCGGTGGATCAGCCTCAGCATCATCAAGCTTGTGGAGCCTTTGAATAAGGAACAAAGCCCTCAATCAGTGGGCTCCCTTGGTTCCTCTCGAAATGCTTTATACAGGGGCCTGCCCAACACCAAAACCACTTTTGTAGTACACAACTTCCTCATGCCCCAACACCACACCCATTATAATGGAACCAGTTCTAAGTCATGACAATAGCAGCGGCAGCCATGGCAGCAATAGCAACGATGGACACGACATCATTGGGTGGTTTGAAGATGTAACAGAGAAGGCAGGTTCTGTTCAGACCCAGATCTTATCACAGATTCTGAAGCAGAACCATGGGGTGGAATATCTCGACAAATGGTTGGGTCGCTTCAATATCCTCGACATGGATGCTTGTGCATTGGAATCTCTTTTCACTTCTGTGGTTCCCCTCGCCTCTCATGAAGATTTTGAGCCTTTTATCCAAAGGATTGCAGATGGGGACACGACTCCCTTGCTCACTCGACAACCCATTACCACTCTTTCCTTGAGGTGCCTCCCCTCCCTCATCCACCCATCTCATTTTTCAAGTCGTCTTCGTTTATATTTGTAGGAATCAGGATGTAGAATATTAAATACAAGCCATATACATGGTTTTTTTTTTCCTTTTTTATTCTCTCCGGTTTTCCGTCATGCTTAATTCATGGTTGTCCTTGGATATCAGTACGATGCAATGCAAGGGAAGGAGTCTACAGTGATTAATCATGTCAATATCATTTTCCCATTCTTTAAAGGACGCAGGCCACTCTTCTTAACTTGTTTCCTTGAATGGAACGTCTTCCTTTACTTTTCTATTGAAATCTAATGTCTGCTTTTGTGGTGGTGATTTTCCAGTTCCGGAACCACAGAGGGAAAGCAAAAGCTCGTACCTTTCACCCGGCACAGCGCCCAAACTACCCTTCAAGTCTTCACTTTATCAGCAGCCTACAGATCAAGGGTTTATCCTATAAGAGAAGGAGGTAGGATTCTTGAATTCATATACAGCAGCAATCAGTTTCAAACCAAAGGAGGCTTAAGGGTAGGAACGGCCACAACACACTACTATGCAAGCCAAGAGTTCAAGATCAAACAGGAGAAAACGAAGTCATTCACTTGCAGCCCTGACGAGGTGATTTCAGGAGGAGACTACAGGCAAGCCACATATTGCCACCTCCTCCTCGGCCTCTACTTCTCCGATCAAGTAGAGTTTATCACTTCAGCCTTCGTCTTTAGCATAGTGCAAGCTTTTCGCAGTTTCGAAGAACTTTGGAGGGATATCTGCAACGACATTAAAGAAGGAAGTCTAAACTCGAGAATCAATGTACCCAAAATGAGGAAGGCTGTTTTGAATCTTATTTCCCCAAACTCATCCCTAGCTTTAAGAGTAGGAGCTGCCTGCTTGGAATTGGAAGAGGTGAATTGGTCTGGTCTGATTCCCAAACTTTGGCCAAATGTTAAGTATGTATATTCCATAATGACGGGGTCGATGCAACCATACCTGAGAAAACTAAGACATTATGCAGATGAGTTGCCATTAGTAACGGCTGACTATGGCTCTACAGAGAGCTGGATAGGAGTTAATGCGGATCCTAGTTTGCCTCCAGAGAATGTAACATACGCTGTCGTGCCTACTTTCTCTTACTTCGAGTTCATACCCCTTCATAGACAGAAGCAAGGTTGCACTTCATTTGCGGATGATTTCATGGAGGATTTGCCTATTCCACTATCCCAAGTTAAGGCTGGGCAAGAGTATGAAATAGTGCTCACAACTTTCACCGGTAATTGCCTCTTCCTTCTTCACATTCTTTTTCATTTTCTTTTTTTTTTTTGCAGAGAATCTGATTTTATCTATAACATTATTGTCCCCTCATGTACATACTCGAATTTCGGACCGCAGCTCTTCTTCGTTCCGATTTTCATTTTTATCAATCTTAAAATGGAATTTGATGCTCTCAGATGTCACTTTGTGGAACTCTTCATCCGTTGACCCTATCATCGTTATGTGCGCATTGATGTGGAAAAGGAGCATTGATATTGCGGACTGTAGGTTATACATAACACCCCACTCTTTCGCCAATAATAGAGCAGCGAGGGCGTCAAAGGTTTTCTCCTAGCCATAAAGTGATAATTACTCCTATTAAAATAGAAAGTGATAATTAAGTGACTGAAAAGCTACTGATTGTGGCAACTGACTCCCTGTTTCTCGCGCCGCTCATGATTTGGTTGGGTTTGTGGCCACAAACCCCTGGTGTCTATAGATGAAAGACCCTAGATTAGGTGATGGGAGTAGGAAATTCTAGAATTCAATCAAGTTATTTTATATTTAACAATTATTTAGACTTTGATTTGAGAAAGTAAATTGTCTTTCAAATGAGATTGGCGTCGGTTTATCTTATCCTATCATATTCCAAGTGATCTAACATTTGGTTTCCTTATTTGATGGACTTTTTATATAATTAAATAATATCAACTATTTTCCAGTTCCTTGCACCCTCTCAATTTTTTAATATCCTTTTCTCCTCCGTTCATATCCATTTATTCCTTTTCTAGCTCCTCCTCTCTCCCACTTCCGTCCTGTCCAACATTCCCTTCAATATTGTTCCATTGTCATCCTCAAAATCCTAATTGTAACCATCTGGAATCTAAACAGTAAACAGGCAAAAAAGCAAAAACAAAACGTAAACGTAAACTTAACAGTAAATAATACAAGTTACAATTCTAATTTATGTGCATGTTTATCATGATATTTATTGATAATAAATGTTGTATACTTTATAAAATTAATAATCATCGTTAGTTCCTATATTGTTATATTATTAATATTATCATTGGGATTGTAGTTGTTTTTCTTTAATTCCCCACCAACACACTGTAATCATAATAGAGTATTTCTTATCATAACGACATAGAATAAGAATCGGTGGAATTAAGCTTTGATACCAAACTAATAGACAGAGGGTAAACGGAGAAGAAAAGGAAAGAGATCAAATAGAGAGGATTAGTAAAGAATTAGGGGAGAAACTGAAAGATGAGGCAACTCAAAATGTAGAAAGCATATGTGTCAAAGTGTGTTATTATAGCAATCCTGTTAATTAAATGCAAACATTTTATAATAGTTTAGAAGATAATCAAGTGATCAATCAAAAAGATTTTATTTATTTAAACCAAATTCTAATTCTGATCTAGGAGATCACTTTGATAAAACAAACATCCTAACATTTACAGCTGATGTCATATTAGGATCCACATCACATCTTTATTTAATAATGCTTTCTTATATTATGGGTGTACATTTGCTTTTGAACTTTAAACGTTTTGATCAACATGCAGAATGATTTGGGAATGAAGTGGGTTGAGCATAATTTAGACAATGGGTTGGCCACTTAGCCGGTGAGTTATATAAAATCATAATGCATGTGTTTACATAAAATATACCTAAAATAAATGTATCAGGCCTGGTTCAAGTTATAAAGGCTTAAAACAGAAATTTGAATCGAAAGGCCGAGTCTTGTCATATGAAAAATCAAACCAGACCTCAATAGCAATCAGGTTTAGGTCAGTGAGAAGTTCATTAAGCAGACATATGGCGGGAACTAAGCACAGGAATTACTTGCAGGGCTGTATAGGTGCAGGCTAGGAGACGTGGTGGAAGTCGGGGGTTTTCACAGAGGGACTCCAAAGTTGAATTTCATATGCAGAAGAAAGCTAATCCTGACAATAAACATAGACAAGAACACAGAGAAGGACCTTCAGCGAGTGGTGGAAAGAGGCTCGGAACTGCTGAACAAGGAGGAAGCGGAGGTGGTGGACTTCACCAGCTACGCGGACGTGTCGAAACCACCCGGACACTATGTGATCTACTGGGAGATCAAAGGGAAGGTGGATGATGAGTTGCTGCACAAGTGTTGTACACAAATGGATGTGTCCTTTGTCGACCATGGCTATGTGGTGTCCAGAAAGACCCACTCCATCGGGCCCCTTGAGCTTCGCTTGGTCAAGCCAGGCACCTTCAAAAGGATTCTCGACCACTTCGTCGCGAGCGGGGCTGCCCTCGGCCAGTTCAAGACCCCTCGGTGCACCTCCAACCCTGGCCTCCTCACCATCCTCTCTGCCTCCACCATTAGGACCTTTCGCAGCACCGCCTATGCTTAGACGACTCTTGAATCTCACCCTCATCTTGATGCTAGTTTGATTTGGCCATTTGCCCGTCCGAAACGATCCGGCTGATTAATTGAAGCGCTCAAAGTTTTGAAATTAATCCCAGACCTTACATCTGATCTAGCCTTTTTAAATGATATTCAAAGTTCGAACTTAAGATGACTTTCTGTTTTCTTGTTTTCACGGTTGGAAAGGTCAATGAGAAGCTAGCCAAACAGTCCATGAGTAACTAAATTTTCTTTATTTCTTCAATCTTCGAAATTAGAGAGTTGGTGTATTTTTTTTTTAATTTAAATAGTAACGCAATCTAAAAAATATGCATGTTTTATTTTGTGTTGACCCCCGACGGCCTACCGTCAATACATTCAATGTATAAAGATGATATATGTATATAAAGCATAGGCTATCCTCATGTGGGTTGGAAGGTTGAAAAGAGAGATTGAATATCCTTTTGGCATGACAAATAATGTCCCCTTCCTGAACCTCTTGTAAAGTACGCATCTCCTAATGCAGATCCTATTCTACATGCAAAAGTCTCAGACTTTTGTTCTAGTACAGGTGTCTGGAAGGTGGCCCAAATTCATAGATATTTGCACCATGATATCATCAAGCAAATCATTATCATCAAACCTTCCCATCCTAATGCTCATGATGATACTATATGTTGGAGGCCCTCTAATGATGATAGTTTTTCTATCAAATTTGCTTACAAGGCTATTGAAAATCATTGCAATAATACCAACTCTAAGATTTGGTCCAAAATCTGAAAATGGCTAACTTATGAAAAGATCAAAACCTTTCTCTGAAAAGCTGCTTGGGATCGCATACAACTAAATTCACTTGCTCGGATGGGAGCAATCCCTGTTACAAAATATGCCCCCTTGGTTGCAACTCTTTGGATTCAACTATACATATTTTAAGAATTGCAAGACATCAAAAGAGGTATGGTTAAAATTATTAAAACAATCCAAAATTAACACTTTCTTTTCTCTTCCTTTACAGGATTGGAGAATTTGGAATGCCAAAAATGATGCGGGAAATGCTCGAGCAAGGAAGGCTTCTTGGCAAAGACTACATCTAGAAAGAAAGATGCAAAAAAGCCTATTTTGAGGAAGACAATCAAGATAGGGACATTGCTTTCACCAGTATCTAGGATATTATCAGCGATCAATATCTCCAATCCAAAATTGAATTTCTCACTCAAAAAGGAGATAGAACTAAAGCCAAATGGCTCCCTCCTAAAGAAGGATGGGTTAGACTAGACACTGATGGCTCCGTTAATTCTATTAGTACAGCTTCTTGTGGTGGTCTCATACGCAACAATCAAGGCAACTGGATTAAAGGCTTCTCTAAATATCTTGGATACCACCCAAGTACAGCTGCTGAACTTATGGGCATCTGGAAGGTCTTACTATCTGTGGGCTGAAAAGTTTAACAAAGTTAATGTCTACTCTGACTCTATGAAGCTCTATCGCTAATCCGCAATGAGTTCTCTACCAATCACCTTTCTTTACTACTATCAACGATATCAGAGATCTTATTATGCGAGACTGGACTGTCACCTTTGACCATATTTTTAAAAAACAAATACTTGCGCTGATTGGTTGTCACACCAAGCCTCTATTGATAATTTCAATGTACTTATTTTTGACACTGCGCCCCTAGGTTGCAAGGACCTTTTGTACGCTGACATGACTCAACGAGTCTGTTAGCACGGTATTTCGTGGCCTATCATTCAAAAAAAAAAAAGCATAGGCTATCCTCTAATTTTAGATAAAATTTTAGTTTGGCTCTTTATTTTTATAAAGTATTTTTTTGGCTTTGTAATCCTAATATTGTTAATCTCAAATATGTGTTTTTTTAGATTGTTAATTTAAAAAATTAAAATTAATATGTTAATATTTAAAAATAATTTTTCAATATTTGAAATTTCAGTATGGGAATTTTGTGTTGATAAAACTAACACCATTAGAATTATATAATTAAAAAAACATTTTACAAAAGTAAAGAACCACAGTAAAATTTTGTATAAAGTTAAAAACTCAAATTTATACTCTGAAGATATAAATTTATTTTCATATTACTTTCTTCGAGCCACCTCCAAATTGGAGTAAGATTGTTTGGTGATAATAACACGTTAGAAAGGTTACTTTTTTATGATACAATTATTTTCATATTACTTTGGCAAATCCAATCAATTAATTTCCAAACATATGCCAAGTCAAATCGGTCCTACCCAATCAAGAATTAGCTGCCCCATAAAACAAAGCAAGAACGTTAAGAAAGGATCTGGCTTCTCTTCATTTTTTCCTCTCTTCATTTTCTCTCTGCTTTCCATTTCAACCATTAAATTTATTTTTCAACAACTGAAATTTGATGTTTCATAAAATCATTATTAAAATATAAAATTTTATAAAAATAAATATAATAATTTTATAAAATGTCAAATTTCAATTATTTAAAAATGAATTTAAAATTGAGATGAGAAGTGAAGACAGAATGAAAAGGAAAGAAAATGGAGAGTAGCCAAACCCGTAATGATAAGCATCCCATGTCTTGGTCACAGAAATAACACAGGGCCATGTACTTCACAGGTCAAGCCTGTGAGGCGATGGCCGAAAACTAAAAGAGAGATGGCAAGCCGATCTCTTAAAATCAAGTGAACAATCTATCATCTATTCATACATAGGATGCAATTTTAGGACATGTTTGGTATAAGAGAATCAAAGCATGGGAAATGGAATTGAACCTAGAAGCCATACACCAATGTATTTGGTATGTCAAAATTGTGATTCCCATGGAATCCAATTCAATCAAAATGGTCAGAATTGGATTCTTTAGTGAACACCAGTCACCAAATCTTTGACATAGGTGCCCTCCAGTCAAAGGAAGATTTAAAAATTTAACCCCTTAATGCTGGAAAAGGTAATTTATTATTAAACTACCAAAAATTTTTAATTATATATTCAAACATAACTTTTGTTTTAAGCATTTATGCAAGTTTTTTAAGAATATATAGCAACTTTTTTTTCTGTATAAACAAATCACGTTTAAATAGTTACAAATGATTATTTAGATATAAATAACATGTTCATGATTAATTTTTGCCTACAAAGATATTTAAAAAATAAATTTATAGCATATATTGTTTTATTTCACATAATATTAATAACTTATTAATATTGAAGGAAAAATTTGTTAAGAAAATTGAACAAATTAAGTTTTAAAAACTGACAATTTTTTTATATATTAACAGATCATGTTCAAATATTTATAAGTAATTATTTGTGTCTGAACAACAATGAATTCACAATTAACTAAAGCTCAAATAATATTTGAAAAAAAATTTATAACAAATATTTCTTTATTAAAAAATATAAGACATTTTTAATTAAATCTCAACCCCCAATAAAGTTATTATCTACTTTCAAACTAACTTTATCTTTTCATATTTACCTTTATTATATATCCTACAATAAATATAAAGTTACTGTCAATAAGTGCACTTTAAAAAAAAAAGGACAATAATACATTTTAAAAAATTAAAAATACCTTATATTTTTTAACATGTAACTCCTTAAAAAATACTTTATAATTTTTAGATGCGGGAGTATATTTTTTATTTATCATTATTGATATCTTGTCAATATTAAAAAAAGTTATTTAAAAAATTAAATAAGTAAGGTTTAAAAATTGATAATTTTTTTAAGGATGAGCAAGTGATGTTCGAATATTTATGAATGATTGTTTGTATATAAACAATGATATATCCATGATTAAGATAAGCTTACATAAATACTTGCAACAAAAGTTATAATATACATCACTCCCTCTGTTCTCAAATAATAAGATACCTTTAGACAAAATCTTACATCTCACATATCAATAAAGCTCATTAAATACATTTTATAATCTTATTTTTTTTAAAAAAAATAAATCTTAAAAAATATCTTTCATTTAATATTCTATTAATAAAAGAATATTGAAAAAAAAATATAGGAAGGTTAACATCAAAAAAATATAATTCATAAAATTTTATTTTTATTAAAATGTCTGATTGAGATGCTAATTTTTTTAAAAAAAATATCTTATAATTTAAAATGAATAAAGTATATTTTATAATATATAATCAAAAAGCTTTTGCAGTTCTGTGGTAAATTACATTTTGCAACATCGGGTTTAAATTTTTTCTTGGCTCCTTCCCGCCTGCATTTGTGATAAGTTTTTCTTACAAAGAAAAAAGGCAAGGGCATTTACGTCTTTTCAAAAAAAATACATAAAGGATTTTTAGGCCTGCTGAGGAATTTTAAATTCTTTTGAACTTTTAATGCATATATTTTGCATTTTAACGGCCAACCTGAAATTATTCTCCCTAAATTTTATCTAGCAGTATTTTTAAAGAGTGACCAGTAGGTCTTTGCCATAAATGTACGGCTCAATGAAAGAGAAATGAGAGAACCTTGCTCATATGGTTATGCCTGGACCTGCTGGACAATCATCTCCCGTCACTGCTCCAAGCCTCCAATTATCAATTGTCGAACCAAACTGCACAATGAGGATCGAGTCAGGGAGAAAGAGATGGTCAACACAGAAAGAAGCAACAGTCGCCACATATGCCAATTCCTAATGTCCTGCAGTGGTATGCACTTATACAGTGATGGCTTCAAGCCTGTGGAGAACTCGCGTGGCAAAACAATAATTTTGATTCAAAGGCTTCAACCTCGGCACTGAAGTCGTCCATATATAATTTCAGATTGAGCAAGTTATGAATAACGGTGACACAAATTTAGAACAGACCCAAGAAAGAAAGAAAGCAAGACACCATCAATGGTGCTGCGTACAAGATTGCTTCACTATCCACTGACAGCACGATATTCATGAATCAAAATACTATAATCTCTTCTAGGTTTTAAGACTAAAGATACCTTGTCAGGGCTGACATGGGGCGACGATGGCTGCAAAATGGCCCGTGCTGTTTGACCGCGAGCAGTTTATGCACGACGACGGGTGGCTATGGTGACTTCGAAAAAGAGGATTGGAAAGTGAACATAAAAAATCATCTAATTAGGTCCCTCCGAATTTTATCAGTTTTTTTTTTTT